GATTGCCTCTACTCAGGCCACAGAATTCCAGAAACTCTCCCTTCTGCTTGGTGATCTCGATGATGCCAAAAAGGGGGAAGAAGATCCTCATCTGCCTAAACCCAGGACCACCAGAGCCTCATCATCTGCTGAACCAGTTGTGGATCCCACTCCTTATTTTGAAGCTGCCCTCCAGAAGAAACGGCTAGCTGGTATCCCTAGACCTCCATCTCCACAGAAGAAAGGAACTAAGAAGAAGAAAGCTCTAAGCTTTAAAGAATGGAGACTGGGAGGATCTCAGGTGATGACTAAAACCCAATTTGAGGAAATGAAGCAGAAGATGACCTCCACACAACAACAGAACCTTTATCTGGACCATGATGGTCATGTAAAGGTTAGACATGGTGGATCTATGGAGGAGGTAGAGTTCTGGTTTCACAACAGCATTGTACCAGGAAAAGATATTCATGAAGGTGTTCTGAACTACCTAGACTCCAAGCTCTCACCCGTTTGGGCTTCTTATCAGAGATCTGGAAATCTAGTTGGAATCAGAGAAGAGGTGAACGCAGAGCTAAAGAGGCTACAAGGAATGGATGAACAAGCAAGAGCTGAAGCTGCAAAGACTATTATGTAATCAGATATTCTTGTAATCCACCTTAATAAAAGAACATCTCTGCCTCACACTTTGTAAGGCAATTCCTCAAATCTCTGTCTTTTCTTTTGTTTCTGCTTGTCTGTTCTTTGATTTATTTTCTGCCATCTGAATGTACTGCACTCTTACTATTTTCCTATGCCAAGTTACCCACCAAGATTTTAATGAAAGTTTTAAACTTTAATTCTTTGTGGTGAAGGCACTTCTCTGGAAATAGTTAAAGGGTTTTGGCATCATCAAAAAGGGGGAAATTGTAAGGAATATTTGTAATTAGATTTTGATGATGCTATATTAATTAGGACTTTAGAGTACCCCTCTTTAGACTTAATGTATTAGAATTTTCCTTTGTAAATTTCTTTAGTATAATCGACTGGCAGAAGGCCTCAAGAGCAGAAGGCCTCAAGAGCAGAAAGCCCCCAGGACAGAAGACCCCTTGACAGAGGACCCTTGATAAGGCGTTGGTTGAACAGAGGACCTTTGGTTCTCTGCTTTAGAACAGAAGACCTCAGGGTCTCTGTTAGCCTTTACTCTGACAGAAACCCTCCTGGTTCTCTGTTGGATATCTCTTCAACAGAAGTGCTCAAGACCTTCTCTGATCAACTCTCTACTAAAGACACCAGAAGGCCTGACACTTAGAAGAATTCCACCAAGCCGGAAAACCAACTGAAAGATTCCTTCAACGGCTAGGAGTCTTGAACGGAAAAGCTACAGTGCGCATTAAATGCACATTTAATGCCTTCCATACTCTGTAGAGTAAATGCAGATGATTGGCCGCAATGTCAGGATAACTTTATCCCAAAATAGTAACCCGCCAACTTTACCGGGTCCTACTGGTCAAGTCAAATGCCCGCTCATTTAATGCAGTTGTCCTACTTCTCCTCCAACGGGAAGACAACCTCAGTATAAAAGATACACTACGAAGAACAACCGGATAACTTTGCAACAACTTTTGCTACAACTCTGCACTTACAAGATATTCAAACGCTAAAAACGCAAAAAGCCTCCTTGAGATTAAAGTTTCATCATCTTCTACAAGAGAAGGCAGAAGTTGGAAAAATCCTTATTTCCAACTCAAGCAAAGTTCCAAGTGTTCTTCAACTCTTCAAGCTCATCACATACAGATTCTTTGTAACGAAGCAAGTTGGAGGAACCTCTGTTCTAAATAGAACCTCTTCTTTCACAAGAAGGACGTCCTAGTACCTGTAGCAGTGAAGTGGTGATACTTCTGGGAAAGCTCAGTGAAAGGACCAGTCTTAGGGAAGCCGGAAGTGCATCCAATAAGACATCTACACTTGAAGAAGACGTGGAGATCTTCTTAAGTGATAGGGCTAAGGCATTGTAAATGGACGTTTTTACAAGCTTAGTGGAACAGTGGACTAGAGGAACAAGTTGTTCCTTGAACCACTATAAAAAGCCCTGGTGTCATTTACTTACTGCATTAGTTTCATTGCTTTTATTTGAACTGTTTAACTCCAAAGATTTGGTATCTGTGTTCAGCAGAACTTATCTTGTGAGTTAACAGAAGGCCTACTGCCTTTGCTTCTCTGAGGCTACTAACAGAACTCCCTACCAGAACCCCATCCGCTGCCAGTCTGTTCTGCCAACAGAACATGCTATTATGTTAAATCTGGTACTTAGCTTGAAAAAGTTAAAAACTAATACAGTCTATTCACCCCCCCCCCTCTAGACTGTATCCAGTACAACCGGGACCAACACAATTCTAAAAAATTCATTGAAGCTTATGAGACATTACCACATACAATGCCGTTCACAGCACAAAGTTACGTTGCACGTGATTTATAAAAACAAAAACAAATCATTCCACTTGAATCACAATCAATCCCTACAAGTCATGAATGGAATCCCGCCATGACTTGTAAGTATGGACCACTCAAATTGAATAACACTTCATCTTTGGTGCCCCCGAGATGTGGTCCAACGGGAAAAGTCAACGTAAACAATGCAGACTTGTGAAAAAATGTTTGAGACTAGGCTACACTCAAAGATTTAGCCTCATCATTTACCTTGGACACTATTGCCTTGATCTAAATATTATTGTGGCTTGTGGTTGATCTTTAAGACAACTAGATGTCAATAACCAGTTTTAGAGGGCACTCTAAGTGAAGACATCTGATTGATCTAACCGTGAGACACCATTTTGGGTACATTTTTATTTTATTTTATTTTTAGTTTTGTCTAAAGGGATTGGAGGAATGACTGTCAAATTACAATCAAACCATTTGGTTGCAGTTATGATATAATAAAAATTTGTTGTGAGATTTTCATTATGTTTCATTTTATTCAATTTTAGTTATAGTTATTGTTCAAATCAAAACAAGCACTACCCAAAGTAGAAATGCTCATAATTTAATTTTGGTTTAATTTTGATAAAGTTCTCTCAAATCAAACCAAAATACCCATCCTAGACAGAGCAATCCAACTCTAGTCATGTTGCTAGCTTAAAAAAGCCCTCTGTAGGCTCAAATTAAACAAGCAGCTCAAATGTCGTATACTAAGTTGAAACTTTGTTATGATTCTGCCACAATAATGTGGCCAATACATCTCTATTTGTGCTTCACAAACGCCCCAACCCCCACCACCACATCACATATATTAATCGACTCTGATAACATAAATATCAGCACAATGACAGTGCTTTTGCTTCTTATTTAGTCTCAAAACTGGTTGATCAATTATCCTGACCTGTTGTCCTGCTTTCTTGATGTTGAAGCTTGGTCTCATTAAACATTTGTCTTCAGCAAGCATAAGTATATTCTTAACTTACTCACCAAAACTAAGATAAAGGCTTCGACGGTCGGCCTCCTCAAGCATTCATTAAACACAACCATTATTTTATAATAATTGTAATGTATAAATATAGGGTACAATTATGCATCATGTTCTTGTTCTTCTCACAGAAAATGAACAAAACAAAAAAATACAACTTTCTGACTTTAAATCAAACACTAAAAATGATAGGAGTAATAATATGTAGAAAATGTGTAAATTCCAAGAAAAGATTATAGCTATGCATGTTCTGCCATAGATTTTTGTCTTTTTCCATGATGGTCGGTTACAAGAACAAAACAATGCTCGTTTGAATATGAAACAGTCCCAGAATGGAAGATGAAGCGGGCGAGACAAGAAAACTACTCTCCATCCATTGAACTGCATTTGTTCACAGTTTTATATACTCAATGGCTGAAAGCAGATATAACCGCATTGAAACATAAACATGTGCGTAGTATGTAGTATTTGACTGTTCTTCCTTTTAAAAAATTCTAAAAAGTTCATTGAAGCTTATGAGACATTACCACATACAATGCCGTTCACAACACAAAGTTATGTTGCACGCGATTTATAAAAACAAAAACAAATCGTTTCACTTGAATCACAATCAATCCCTACAAGTCATGAATGGAATCCCGCCATGACTTGTAAGTATGGACCACTCAAATTGAATAACACTTCATCTTTGGTGCCCCCAAGATGTGGTCCAACGGGAAAAGTTAACGTAAACAATGCGAACTTGTGAAAAAATGTTTGAGACTAGGCTACACTCAAAGATTTAGCCTCATCATTTACCTTGGCCACTATTGCCTTGATCTAAATATTATTGTGGCTTGTGGTTGATCTTTAAGACACCTAGATGTCAATAACCAGTTTTAGAGGGCACTCTAAGTGAAGATATCTGTTTGATCTAACCGTGAGACACCATTTTGGGTACATTTTTATTTTATTTTATTTTTAGTTTTGTCTAAAGGGATTGGAGGAATGATTGTCAAATTACAATCAAACCATTTGGTTGCAGCTATGATATGATAAAAATTTGTTGTGAGATTTTCATTATGTTTCATTTTATTCAATTTTAGTTATAATTATTGTTCAAATCAAAACAAGCACTACCCAAAGTAGAAATGCTCATAATTTAATTTTGGTTTAATTTTGATAAAGTTCTCTCAAATCAAACCAAAATACCCACCCTAGACAGAGCAATCCAACTCTAGTCATGTTGCTAGCTTAAAAAAGCCCTCTGTAGGCTCAAATTAAACAAGCAGCTCAAACGTCGTATACTAAGTTGAAACTTTGTTATGATTCTACCACAATAATGTGGGCAATACATCTCTATTTGTGCTTCACAAACGCCCCAACCCCCACCACCACATCACATATATTAATCGACTCTGATAACATAAATATCAGCACAATGACAGTGCTTTTGCTTCTTATTTAATCTCAAAACTGGTTGATCAATTATCCTGACCTGTTGTCCTGCTTTCTTGATGTTGAAGCTTGGGCTCATTAAACATTTGTCTTCAGCAAGCATAAGTATATTCTTAACTTACTCACCAAAACTAAGATAAAGGCTTCGACGGTCGGCCTCCTCAAGCATTCATTAAACACAACCATTATTTTATAATAATTGTAATGTATAAATATAGGGTACAATTATGCATCATGTTCTTGTTCTTCTCACAGAAAATGAACAAAACAAAAAAATACAACTTTCTGACTTTAAATCAAACACTAAAAATGATAGGAGTAATAATTTGTAGAAAATGTGTAAATTCCAAGAAAAGATTATAGCTATGCATGTTCTGCCATAGATTTTTGTCTTCTTCCATGATGGTCGGTTACAAGAACAAAACAATGCTCGTTTGAATATGAAACAGTCCCAGAATGGAAGATGAAGCAGGCGAGACAAGAAAACTACTCCATCCATTGAACTGCATTTGTTCACAGTTATTTACATAAATAAGCATGCTGCATATATAAATATAATTATATAAATATAATGTCTGGCATGAAAAAGCCTGCTCTACATTTTCTGTCAGCAAGATCTCAGTTAACAGGTTGGGTCTGCCACATTGCATGGTATTTGGGGAGACAGACACTCACGCGATCATGCACTGAGAAGATGCAGCTATCCCATATTTACTCTGCAGGGAAGCAGGGAGATATGGCCATCTGCTTCCACAGAGTGACAAGCCTGAGTCTTTTTTCCCTCACTTTTTACAGTAGATAGTATATCACAAATGTTGATTGGGGGTGGGTAGAATGTGAAAACTACTTCCATTTCATTCAAGTCAAAGGTAAGCCCATTCGAAGTAATGGCATCGAGCACCCCTTATGGCAGTCCAGTTGCCACAACCAAAGAAGATGCTTCCTTGCTTCGGCCCTGGCTTCTGGACAACACCTTTGGTGCTCCTTATCCCACAGTAGCAATTAGAATGCATCTGAATCTGGATGGTTGGAAAACGCTGGTCCCTCACTTTCTGAGTTTGATATGGCAAGTTGGAGACATGATCTCGGGGTGATGGCTTCCATGTGAAGGGTTCACTCATAGGTTGAAAGGTGAGTGAATCTGTGATTGAGAGCTTGATACCCTTGTGCATAAATAGTGTGAGTAAGCGGGCAGTGTTTTTTGCATCATCCAGACCACAGTGGGCACGACCCTGCCATTCTATGCCAGCAAGCTGGACAGCCTCTTTCAGAGTGCACCTTCCTCCTCCAAAAGTCTCACGGAAAGGAACCTTTAAATTGATCCATCTGATAAAAATACACACGAGAAATAATTTTTTGCATTAATATTCATCACGATAGTTGTAGTATGTCTTGGGCTTACTTGTTGAAGTAAGGAGGCTTCTGGATCTTCTTATAGCGACACTCAGATTCCAACATCACTCTACAATCCCAGTTTGACCACGTAACCACTGCAAAATTGGAATGTTTTATCCCCTTCTTCTCAAGCCACTTGTCATGCTTATGGAGAGCTTCACTCAGACTAACTCCTCTGTCAACCTGAAAATACAAGCCTGGTTGACTTGGGGCCCATAACCACCTAAATTTATTATTTGGGATATATTTAACTTGTTTAAAATCTCATACTAACACACCTGAATTTGCTGGATGCCAGTCAAATCCTTGCAGAAATCGCTGAGGAGCTCATTGCATGTTGGTCGCACATAGGTTTGAAAACAAGCTTCAAGCTGGCCAGTCATGCTGCTTACAACCACAGATGGGAACTCGATTATTTCTTGGGGGTGAGGGTTCCTTTCCTTGTCACAAGTAGCTTCGAAGTCTATGACTACAAAATATTGAATATCTTGGAATTGGAATTCATAAGGGTAATGTCCAGGGATTGTTTTGATTGGCCCGTAGCGGAACCGCCTGTCCACTGAGAAAGGATAAAATTGGGGCTCAAAAGCGTTCACTGCACACATTCGCATATTATTTGAGCCAGGGTAGAAGGCTTTCCAAGAGCCAGAAGCATGAAGTTCAACAGTTTTTGGGGGGGTTTCTTTAGAAGAGCCAACAGGTTCACTTCCAGATGAGCAATCACTATTAGTATCCCCCACTGAAGCAGAACCAGGGCCTTCATTGAGCTCTGGAATTTTTTTTATGGATGTCCCATTGTGATTCAAAGTGTGAGGATATCCTGTGTTCTGGAGGCATTTAATGGGTGCCTCACAGTTCACCTGCACAGGATCTGGCATTTAAATTAAAATTAGAATTCTAATACATGCAAAACACCTTTCAGAAAAAGAATATGCAAAGCATAAGTTGCAAGCCTCAATCTAAAATACCATTGAGGGTAGTCTCTTGATACATTGAAGATTCGTGCAAATTACGGAGTAAAAAATGAAACATAAAATTGCTCGTTTCGTGTCTAGTGAGTCATGCAACTTATGTTTTAAATGAGGCATTGAGGTGGACTCTATGTCTATTCCTAGGGCTTACGATCGGATCTGTAATAACTGTCTGGAAATCATCTTGTATGCTTTCTCATTATTATTATAAAAGCCACTCTTTTATTTCAAAAAAAAAGAAACAAAAAAGAAAATTCTCAAGACATAATTAGCCAGCATTTACAGCATACAAATATGTTCTTAATACGATGCTCTATCCAGATTGTAATTGCCTAGAAAACCCACCAATAAGAGGATCTGAATCATTATTTTTTGCTCCGGATACTGATAATTTACAAGTCTAAAAGAGAGCAAAAAGAAAAGGCACAATCTTTGCCAACAGTTCGTGAAGTATAAAAAAGCCAGAAATTTCACCGAGTGACTATAGCTTCTAAAGAGATCAAATAGTTTGGAAATAAGCTGTAGTGAGGAAACTTGAATTTGGAATGGCCGAATTTGATAGTAAATTAGTTTCGGATTGACATAATCTAAATTGAGTCTCTTACATAAAAACTTATACAATCGGTCCAAAACATCAAAGCAAGGCACCAGGCATAAAATTCAGAAACAGCCAAATCTGAATAAGAAACCAAAATTAAATTTAGAAAGCGATCAAGAAGACATACCGTTATGTTCTAACGCGATCATGGTATCTATGTAGTTGAGATCCGAAAGAAATGTACATCAGATCTCCCTCTTCCAAGTTTCGCACCTACAAACCCCACCCACGGGCCACGGCTAAACTACACTTCAAGAAATCGAGGAAAAAGAAGTGCAGAGAAAAATATGATACTAACCATAATAACAATCATAAATATGACCACGCATGAAAAACATGACAGTAAATAAATACGACGCGGTAGGACGTTCACAGCGCGCCTTGAGGAAATTGCGAATCCTCTTTAGTAAAATGTTTTCATTAAATAAATTTAAACATTATATTTATATCTTTAATATAATTATTTAATGGGAGTTTACAGTTTAAATTCCCAAAATAGGACCGACCAACTCTTCCTATTCTACCTTTTCCTTTGTCCTTCCTAATATTATTTTTTAAACAATCATTATAAAATATAAAAAAAATAAAATAAAAAATCGTAAAAATCATTAAAAATAAAAAAATGTACAGACCTCAATCACCACTTCAGCCACCTTCCAGCACCGTCAACTCCGGTCGTCGGAAAAGATTGCCAAATTGGGAGGGAAATGTCATCATGATGACAATTTTGAAAAGAAAGTTGGATATTTTTAAAGAATAAAAATGTCACCTTCATGGCATTTTCAGAGAAATATGACATTTTTTATACAAGATGACATTTTTTCCAGCGACCGGAGCTGGTGGTGCTAGGAGGTAGAGGACGCATTGGCAGTGATCTACATTTTTTAAATTTTTTTACGTATTTTATTTTATTTTTTAGACCTTTTTAGAGTTTTTTTAAATATTTTATTTATTTATTTTAATTTTTTTAATTTTAATTTTTATTTTTCATGTTTTTACTATTAATTTATAAATATTTTATAATTTTTATATTTTTATTATAAATAAAACTATGATTTTCTTATTAATAAAATAAATCTATTGGAAATTATAGGAAGGGAGTAGAATGGGAAGAAGAAACACATATTACTCCTATTTTGGGAATGAAGGGATTGTAGTCTAAGTCTCCAATTGTTGAATTTTGGGCTAATTTTAGTCCTATTAAGGGCTAATAATACCCGTTAATTAATTAATTAATTAATATAATTCATCGTCTCACATTTCCCTTGTATAACTGAAGTCAGGCCGTTAGTGGCGGGTCAGTCTGTTGGTGGCGGATCAATTCGGTGGTGGCAGCAGCTTGGCGGCAGAATTCCGATAGACATGCGACGACGTTCTGGGGGGATCCAGCGACAAACACAGTCCGACAACCTGGGAGTAGCACCGCTCCAGGCTCCAAGTCTCCAACGTATGACGCTATTTTTGTCCATTTACAAATAAAAAGCTATATGTGACATTTTAAATTAGTATGTCCTATTCTGAGAAAGTGCTTTTCTTTTGATTCTATTTGTATAAAAAACAAACTCAACTAGTGATTATGTTTTTTGACTTATCAGTTTTATTAGTCATTTTTTCATCACATAATTAACTTACTTTTTTGACTGAATTGAATGAAGTTATTTTAGATGATCATTTTAGCTATTTTTCATATAATTTGTTCTTTATTTTCTTTGTAAGATACTCCGTATATTTTAAATACGAAGTGCTCTCTTCGTCCCCTATAACTTTTTCAACTTTTCATTTTGGGTGTTCTTAAAATTTTGCCACTTTCTCTTTATATCAATGGATTTTTGTTCTTATTATTTATGTCTCCTTTGTACAAATCTCAATCAAACAAGTTTTATTTATTATTTTTCGTGCCGGTCAAACTTGACAAAGTTTTAAGGGACGAAGGGAGTACAATTTTCCATAACTCAACAGATTCAACCAGAACTTCATCGATATCAGCAGATTCTGCCAATTCAGCTAATTCTATAACTCAATAGACATGCTCTTTATCATTTTCTTCTTTTGTTTATTTCTAAAGAGAAATGGTCATGGTATTATAATTATTAAAACTAATAATCTCACCTTTTACCGATATTATTAAAATAGTCTCACATACCGTAATTCAGGGATAATCTCACTTTGCACCTCATCTTCTTTTTTCGATCCCTGACCGGTTAATGACCTGCTATTCCGGGTTATTTGTTTTACTTGCAAAATAGTAAACGCTAAATTATATCTTTCACAAATCTTCTTAAAACATTCCCATATAGTTCTTCGTCTCCTCCTTCTCTTCCTCCTCCTCCTCCTCCTCCTCCTCCTCCTCCTCTGCCTCCGCCACCCCCCCCCCCCCCCCCCTTCCTCCTTCTTCTTCGTCTTCCTCCTCCTCCTCTTTTTCGGCGTCTTCTTCATCATCATGTTTATGTATTCATTTTTTTCCTTCTTTTTCTTCTTCTTCTTCCCATTTATAGTTTCAATTCAATTTTTATGTATTTTTCGGATTAGTTCCCTTCTTATAAAAGATATTTTTCTCACCACACTAATTTTTTACTTTACTTTCATTTATTTCAACTTATTTTTCCTTCTTTTTACCTTAATTCCACCGCTAATATGTTTGTATCTTTTCTGCATCACCATAATTTTCTAAGTGAGTCCATCATTAATTCCAATCAGCTATGATGAAAAACTTTTAGATAAAAGAAAGTGAAAAAGGAAAATGAAGGGAAAACAACTGAAATTCCGAAAAGGAAGAAAGAAAAAAGAAAAAGAAAGCTTGAATTTCAACTTATAATATTCATGGCGTGCGTCAAAGATACAAAGAGGAAAAACGTACCCGCACGGGTAACTCAGTTGGTTCAGTGTTGGGAAATTTGGACCAAGTGACCAAGGTTCGAAACCCGCAACGGCCGTGTGGAGGTCACAGAACATGAAATAAGGCTGGGCCTCTGATGCGCACGGGAAAAAGGTCTACCATCATTGGGCCGACTGAGTCACCGTGATTAACATCCTCCCAAAAATCCTGTCGGGTCGTGGTATGGGGAGATTTCACCTTTTGGACCAAGAGGAAAAACGTGAAGCTGCCAGATACATGAACGATGGACACTAGTCAAAAACACTGTCGGACGAAGTGACAAAAGCCTCCACTGGAAAACCAAAACCCTAGAGAAACCTAGGTACCCCCGTTCGCTCATTTTGTTCTTTAAAAAGTTTTATACTTGAGAATGTTAGATTGATATATTTTTATTTATTTAAGTTATTAAATATTAAAACTAAATATCCAAAGGGTCACAAACAGAACACTCAATTAAAAAAAACCATAAATAGTCTTTTAATAATGATTAAACTTTTATAATGTAATACAAAGTGTATATTTTCACTTGAACTTGTTTCAGTCACAAGACCTTTACTACATTAGATTAAATCATATCAGAATTAAAAATCATGAATGCTTAGATTTTTAGAGCTATTTAAAAAAAATCCTTTGAAACTCGTGAAATTATATTTTGATCATTGCTTTTATATACTTTTCTAGTGTATTTATGACGAATACAAAGCAACTATAAACTTAAGACGCGTATGTTCCAAATGTGGAAAAGAAGTATTACAGTTTTTTGGAACTAATTTTAAATTTCATCACTTCTAAAATAAATTAATAATTTTATCTTGATCTTCCAAAATCCGGAATGGTGTAAGTAATACATAGTAGTTAATAAAATTAGAAATATTTATTATTTACTAAACAATTCTTCAGAACATGATCAGAACTTATAAAACAGAAGTAAGATATAATGAATTTTAAAAACTTGGTAAATAATTTTTATATGTGAAAATCCAATGAGTTATTGATTTTAAAAACTTGATAAGTATGAAGAAATTTGAAATAATTATCAAAGTTTTAATGCATCAAATATTTAAAAAAAAAGAATGACATGTATATTTTTTACAAATAGAATGACATGTATATTACTAACAGAGTTTCTTTGGACATATATATGAGTAGTTATGTAGTCCGTACACGAATAACTGAACAAGAGTCGATATATCGTATTTAAGAGTGACATGTCACTAGTAGATGACGAGTCACTGCAAAATAGCCATTGAATATGTAATTTTGTTTGGAAAATTTTACAATAAGTCACATTTTTTATTTAGTGATATTCATGAAAACTACCCTATTTAAAATATATGTCACTTTTTGTAAATTTTTACGTGAACTCAGTGAATTATTAAGTATGTTTCTAGCAACTTAATGAATTATTAAATGTGCGTGTAATAGATGTTTCTCAAATTATTTGTTTTTATCAAAATATGATATATGCATTATGATAGTGATTTTTCTCGAAGAAAAAGAATTTTGAACCTTCAATTGTTGAAGAAGCACAACCATTCATTGCACATGATTTTTCGAATGACTTCAAACTTAATAAAACTTGGGCAGATTGTGAGACTATGATTAGTTGGGTTATAATAGAGGCCCATATGAGAAACATGTTATTAATAGTTGCAAAGTCAAGGCCAAGCAATTCCCCAAAACTTGGTCATGTACTTATCATGTGAAAATATTGGTTAAGTATTGAATTGCAATTAAACTAATGCACAATGAGTGAAACAGGATAAAAAAAGAGACAAGGACAAAGAAAATTGATTGCTCTTTTGTATTAGATGAGAGTGAAGTGCAACAGAATTTATGGTGATTGCAGGTTCATTACGAATTTCACAACCACATTATTATTCAAGCAAGTTTATTGGGTCACACATTTACTGGCAAGATGGCAAAGAATGGTTTGTCTTTGGTGGGATACTTTTCCAAGGTGGGATGCAAACCTAAGACAAATATCTAAAGTTTAAAAATGACGAATTTTGAAAACATTACATTTAGAAAGTAGGTGTAAAGTGCAAGCTGCAATTTAAGAAGTAATGGGTGGGTGGATATAATGTAACGACCGTCCCCAAAACGACCATTATGACACTCAAACATAAAAGATACTCGATAAATCAAGCGGAAATAAAGATACAAGGCCTCAATATGAGACTTTATTTCTTTTAGAACAAAATCAAACCTTACAACCATAACAACACGCATCCAAAATAAAACAACTGTAAAACCATTACACCTGATCAGGATTTTAAAAACATTTAGAAACCCTTTGAAGTACCAACGTACTAAAACCACAACATAATTGATAGCCCGATCTTCTCCGTTAACCCATCCAAAACCTTGTCATCGGCTCCATACATTCTCTCAGGCTTCCGTACTTCGTTCATTACCTATACATGAGAATACGAGAAAATAGAAGCCTCGTAAGCAATAATGCTTAGTAAGTCACCATTTCATCCACTAAAAACATTTAGGGAATCTTAGCTAGCCATA